ACTCTTCATCGTCTCTTAGATGCTGAAAACGTAGAGTATTATAAGTGACTTCGCTTCGTTTCTTAGATGTTAGAAATGTGGGAAGTGTTTATTGACTACACACCATTCCTCGTATGTTAAAAATGTGGAAAGGGTTCAGTGACTTTACATCTTTACTTATACGTTAAAACAGTGGGAAGTTTTTAGTGTCTTCACATCTTTACTTATACGTTAAAACAGTGGTAAGTTTTTAGTGTCTTCACATGGTTCCTTATACGTTAAAACAGTGGGAAGTTTTTAGTGTCTTCACATGGTTTTTTATATGTTAAAAATGTGGGAAGTATTTATTGATTTCACATCGTTTATTGTTTGTATAAAATGTGGCATATTTTAGCAATTTCACACCATTACTTATTTGTTAAAAATGTTGGAAGTTTTTAGTTGCTTCAGATCGTTACTTATATGTAAAAAATTGGGAAGATTTTAGTTGCTTTACATCGTTACATATATGTGAAAAATGTGGGAAGATGTTAGTTGCTTCACATCGTTACATATATGTGAAAGATTTGGGAAGATTTTAGTGACTTCACACCATTACTTATTTGTTAAAAATGTTGGAGGTTTTTAGTTGCTTCAGATCGTTACTTATATGTAAAAAATTGGGAAGATTTTAGTTGCTTTACATCGTTACATATATGTGAAAAATGTGGGAAGATGTTAGTTGCTTCACATCGTTACATATATGTGAAAGATTTGGGAAGATTTTAGTGACTTCACATCATTACTTATATGTTGAAGATGTGGGAGGTTTTTAGTTGCTTCAGATCGTTACTTATATGTAAAAAATTGGGAAGATTTTAGTTGCTTTACATCGTTACATATATGTGAAAAATGTGGGAAGATGTTAGTTGCTTCACATCGTTACATATATGTGAAAGATTTGGGAAGATTTTAGTGACTTCACATCATTACTTATATGTGAAAGATTTGCGAAGATTTTAGTGACTTCACATCATTACTTATATGTTGAAGATGTGGGAACTTTCTAATGACACCGGTTTGTATATTAGAATGCTCAATATATGGAAACTTTCGTTGGCTTCACGTCGTCAGTTAGATGTTGAAAATAGTGGAAATTCTTCTGTAACTGCGCATCTTTCATTACAAGATGAAAATACTGGAACTTTTCATGCCGTTCTCTAAATATTTAAACTGTGGGATGCTGTCAGTGACTCTGTTGAAAATGTAAAGAACTTTCCACTGGATCTACATCGTTCAAAGAAAACGTGACAAACGTTCCATTGAATCCGATGTATTCTTGGATCCATACTCAACTTGATGCTATAGTTATACTTTCAAACGAGAATTTTCATCCGTCAAAGATGCGTGTTTTATATCTATGCTACTGTTTTCTACATCGTTTCCTTTTTAGCTTCACTTTTTGAAAAAGCAGTATTTAAAGTAGCCGGAGATATTCTTCCTACTGGTGGAGTCTTGCTTGCTGGTACCTCAAGGAATTGTATGAGGTTACTGGTACTTAGGGTGGTGGAAGCAGGATTGGCTGATAACTCCACTCCATTTACGCCACATCCAGCTGGAGTTGCTGAAAGAGAAAACAGAAGCTGTGTGGCATAGAGAGAAAAGAGAAACCGTGTAGCATAGATAGAATACAGAAACTGAGTAGCTAGAGAGAAAACAGATATTATGTAACATAGAGAGAAAAATGAAACTATGCAGCATAAAGAGAAAACAGAAACCATATAGCCAGAGAGAAAACAAAAAATGTGTATTATAAAGAAAATAATGAAACTGTGTGGCATAGAGAGAGAGATAAAACCGAAATAGTGTAGCTAGAGAGAAAAACAAACTGTGCAGCATAGGTAGAAAACGAAACCAAGTAGCTAAAGAAAAAAAAGGTAACAGCGTAGCTGCAGAGAAAACGGAAGCTGTGTAGCTAGAGAGAAAACAGAAACTATGTAGCTAGAGAGAAAACAGACACTGTGTAGCACAAAGAGAAAACTGTGTAGCATAAAGAGAAAAATGAAACTATGTTGCATAAAGAGAAAATTTAAACTGTGTGGCATAGGAGAGAGAAAACCGAAATTGTGTAGCTAGAGAGAAAAGAGAAACTGTGTAGCGAGAGAGAAAACAGACACTGTGTAGCATAAAGAGAAAACAAAAACTGAGTGGCATAGAGAAAAACAGAAACTGAGTGGCATAGAGAAAAACAGAAACGGCTTAGCTAGAGAGAAAAACAGTAACAGCGTAGCAACTGAGAAAACAGAAGCTGTGTACCTAGAGAGAAAACAGAAACTGTGT